ATTATATGTCTAGCGCTGCACTAATTGATTATATGTGATTGTATTATTACTGTTGGGTACCAGTTTGAGTGCTAGCGGCTCTTTGATTAGTATAGGGACTCCATTGAGCGCAGGAGGACTACGTATTATTATACTGTTGGGTGATTCTGCTTTAAAATTGTTGGGTGAGATGAGTGCGCATGCGTGGGTGGCTGGAGCGAATGCAGCCGTAACCGCTCTCACATTTCCGGCACCTTTGGGGGACACAAGAGCGGCTCCTGACCTCATTCCTCAGCGTCGCTTGCCTGGCCTCCCTGTAGAGGAAGTGGGGGATCTCCCTATGCCCACCTGACTGGCAAGTCCGCTGGAAGCTCCCGCACCTCCATAGTGAAGGGAAGGGGTGGCAAGGTGGTGACCGGCGCTGGTTCCCAGATGTCCTCAGCTGCAGAAGGAGCGCAGCCACTACCACACACAATCTTCCTCCTCCAGTCCTGGGACATAGAATGATGGCTCCCCTAACTCCCTGGCTCATGTGAGTGATTACCCTGCTCCTTCCGGGTCCCTCTCTAGACCTGCCAGGTCTCCCTCACAGGCTGCGGCCCTGTCACCAGGCAACAATTCCCAGGCTTCTTCCCTGCTGGATAGGGAAATGGCTGATATATTTATTAGCCAAATTAGCAGCCATGATTCAGCACCTGATTGTCCAGTGGACTCTCCTGCTTATCCATCTGTGCCCCCGCACTATTCAGGGGATTCCATTCTTTTTACTCATTTTCTGATTTACTACAGAGGGAATTGGAAAAAGCTACTACTAAATTGGCCTCCGACCTGAAACAGGATTGCAGGGAGACCGGAAATCGCCTGGAGCATATTGAATCTAAAGTTGATGATACAGTTCACAGAGTGTCTCAAAATTCTAACAGGATTGCCGACCTACAAGATCGCCTAGATGAAGCTTATAATAAAATAGATGATCTTGAGAATCACGCCTGCCGGTACAACTTTCATATTAGAGGTCTTCCGGAAACGGTTAAAGACATTGCTTCCATCGCCCATTCCCTTATGCAATCAGCAGTGACGGCGACAGATGAAATCCACATGGAAATAGACCGTATCCATAGAGCTGTGGTCCCTTTAAAACCAGACGGGCCTCCTCGGGATGTAATTGTTAAGCCTCACTTCTTCAGAATTACGGAGGCGGTAATGCGATATGCCAGAAAACATCCAGATTTGGAAGGGTACAAGATCCAAGTATTTGCAGATATTTCTCAAGCTACCATTCAAAAATGGAGGGCGTTCAAACCGTTGCTTTCACCCCTAATCCAAAGGGACATTCACTATAGATCGAACTATCCATTTCATCTACAATTTGCTTATAATGGCAAATCCTACTCCTTTTCTACATTCCCTGAAGGGGAGAAATACTTACTGAATTTGAGCTTTATTTCCCTTAGCCCTTCCTTGCGGAACGAACCCAAAGCCAATGGACCTCCTCCCCCACTTTCGCCTCTGTGGTCCTCTTCCCCCAGGAAGAAACCTGCTACCCCACATCGGGTTCCCTAAGGATTCTGTTGGCTACTAACTGATTTTCCATTTGGTGGGGACCTCTCCGTGGTCCCATTATGGGGCATTGGCCTCCGCTTACGTTTTTGAATTGTTTTTACATATACCTTTTGCCCTAGTAATATTGTCTTTTAAGAGTTTAATGGTTTGCATTGTTTATTTTTTTTTTACAGTAATAAAGCAAATCTTTAATATTCACATTTAGATCCTAGACATAAAATGTTATAGGCCAGAATCCTTCATCTTGCCCACAATAAATTCTAAATAGTGTGTATACAGTATGTATGCATTGCATCAAAAGTGTTTGCAAAATATGCCCATTGCATCCTGCATGTAGAGCAACTGCAAAAATGTTTAAATTTGTGCAAACAGTATCCAGAAATGTTTAGAGAGATAATACAATATATGTAGTTTACACCATGTGGAGTGTTTTTGTGACTTATACCCAAACCTCCCCTTTTCTTCTCTTTTTCTTTGGTATTTTGTTAATTAATGATGTTCTGCCATCAAATACTGCAGAGAGCATTCAAAATATCTCAATTCATACAAAAATGTTAACATTGTGCACCTTGATGATGTCATCATGATGGCATTTCTTCCTACTAGTAAATATTGACTGTGTGTTCTGTTGGATCCCTGTGGAATGTGACGTGGGTCTGATCCAACCAAAATTCAAATGCCATGGAGTTAAACACAAATTAAAGACAACAATAAATATATAATAAATATACAGTATATCATAAGTTAACACAAAAACTAATACAATATGTAAAATATTGATTCCAATTTTCTAAGTATCTGATATAATTTCCATGATCATTCATTCAATCAGAACTAGACATTAGAGAAATGTACAAATTATACCAACATCATTCAAACAATATGGAAAACAAGCAGATACAATTTTAGGTCACAAAAATTATTACTCCTTACTAAACTTTGCTACTAGTTAAAGGATATGTTCACCTTTGAGAACATGTTACATGTTCCACTCATTTTTAGAATGTAACATGTAACATTTTCCTGTTGCTGATTCACTGATCTCTGTATTTCTTGCTCTTTATTTTCTGTCAAGTATTAACAGTTTGAGTTGTCTCTTTTTCTCTTATTATACTATTTTCTTTGCTACCTGCAACACATTGCAAACATTTTGATAGACATTACCATGGCAGTCATGTTAGCCAATGCAACAATAAATATGTATTAGCTTCTGGGACAATCTAGAGATTTATACTTCAGAATTCTGTTTAAGCTATAACTTATCAGTGATACTTTTCAGCAAAATGTTAATAAAACCATATTACTTTTTTTTTTTAAATTTAAATATTTTATTATTAAATTTTCAAATTACCAGTTTATACATACATGAACTATTAAAACAGACAAAATAAGAAACTCAAATTTGTCTGACATTATATCAAAATATTAACATTGATCTTGGTATCCTTTTTTCCCCCTCCCTTACCCCTCCCTCCGTATATACCCCATACCACATACCTCCCCTCCCCCCCCACCCATCCCTACACAGCCTTGATTCTGCACTTTTCTACTCGTTCTAGAGATCCTGAACCGAAAATAATACTAATTTAATATTACAATTATCCCACATGACTTCTCTTCTCTACTTATATTCTAGGTGTAAGTTTGACTTTTTAAATTCCTCCCACTTTTTCCACCTTATACAGAAAACCTCCATTTTATCTTCATCCATATGATAAAGTTCCTCCAATCTATACATCTTCTCCACCCTATCTACTCAATCCTTTATTTTCGGTGCTTCTTGTTCCCCCCAAAATTTGGGTATTAGGCCCTTCACTGCATTCAAATAGTACAATACCAAGATATTTTATTTCTCTTTCTCTCCAAAGGGGAATTCCTCCTGTAACATTTTTTTCTCTCTAGAAGGTTTATATTTAGAATCTCTGTTTTAGTTGGATTAATTTTTACATTTGACATCTCACCATATTCTTTTAAAGATTTCATTAAGTTTGGCAATGTTATCCCTGGATTTCCTACATAGAACAGCATGTCATCTGCACAAGCTGCCACCTTGTGCTCTATTTCTCCCACCCAGATTCCTTTTAAATCTATATTATTCCTGATGGTAGCCAAGAGAGATTCCAGAGGTAATTCCAGAGATCCAGAGATGTTCCATTCTGCATCCCAATATACTCTAATAATTCCCCATTAACCATGATTGCTGCCAAAGGTTGACTGTATAATTTCCTTATCCATTCTCTCATTCTAGGTCCCATTCCCAAAACTTCCAAAGTATCTAGCATATATTCCCAATTTACTCTTATCAAATGCCATTTCAGCATCAATGGAGAGTACCAACGCAGGAATTTTCTCTTTTCTACTTTTTTGTATGAGAAACAGAGATCTTAATCCGTTATCTCTACCCTCCCTCCCTGGGACGAACCCTACTTGATCTATATGCATCCAATTCGGCATTTGGTCTTTCAGCCTATTTGCCAGTACTATTGCATATAGTTTAGTATCTGTATTTAATAAGGAAATCGGTCTATAACTTGAACAGTGAGTGTCATCTTTGCCTTCCTTATGTATGAGGACCACATGAGTTTGCAGGGATTCCCTCCTCATTTCCATCTCTCCTCCTAAAGCATTCATATATATCCTCAGTTTAGGTAGTAATATTTCTTCATATTTTTTATAGTATCTCACTGTATACCCATCGGGTCCTGGACTTTTCCCAACTGCAGTGCTTTTTAATGCTAGATGTATTTTTTGCAGTGTTATTGCTGTTTCAAGGGACTTTAATTGTTCTTCACTTAATTTCGGTAATCCCGCCTTTTTTAGATATGCCTGTCTTCTTTCTGTTTTTCTTACTTCATCTTCTCCTATGGTACCATGGGGATTGATTTTTTTTTTTTATAGGTGGAGCGCAACACAAATAATTAATTTATTGTTATCCACTCTCCCCACTGCTTTTTGCATTGACGGCAGAACCCTTAGCTATGGCGATCCGTTCTCATCCCAAAATCCATAGTGTCCATTGTGGATGACAGGAACATAAATGTGCTCTATTTGCTGATGATGTTCTTATGTATTTATTACCACCACTTTTACCACCGTACCTAATCTACTATCTCTTTTTCACCAATTCTCTGACCTTTCTGGACTCTCCTTAACCACTTGCCTACCAGGCACTTATACCCCCTTCCTTACCAGGCCAATTTTCAGCTTTCAGCGCTGCCGCACTTTGATTGACAATTGCGCGGTCATGCAACATTGTACCCATATGAAATTTTGATCATTTTTTTCTCACAAATAGAGCTTTCTTTTGATGGTATTTAATCGCCACTGGGCGCTTTACTTTTTGCGCTATAAATTAAAAAAAGTGCAAAAAATTTGAAAAAAAAAAAAAAGTTTATTTGTATCTTTTATAAAATTTTTCAAACAGGTATTTTTTCTCCTTCACTGATTTGCGTTGATGAGGCGGCACTGATGGGCACTGATAGGCGGCACTGATGGGCACTGATAGGCGGCACTAAAGGGCACTGATAGGCAGTACTAATGAGGTGACACGGATAGGCGGCACTGATAGACAGCACTAATTAGGGGTCACGGATAGGCGGCACTGATATGCAGCACTGATAGGCGGCACTGATAGGTGACACTGATGATGGGTACTGATAGACGGCACTGACTGGCATCACTTCTGGGCACTGACTGGCGGCACTGACTGGCACAACCCCTGGGCACTGACTGGTGGCACTGACTGGCAGCACTGCTGGGCTGCACTGGTGGGTGGCACTGGTGGGCAGCACTGGTGGGTGGGCACAGGTGGGTGGCCCTGGTGGGCACAGGTGGGTGGCACTGGTGGGCACAGGTGGGTGGGCACAGGTGGGTGGCACTGCTGGGCACATGTAGGTGGAACCTCTGGGCACAGGTAGGTGGCACTGCAGAGTGGCACAGGTGGGTGCACTGCTGGGCACAGGTGGGGGCACTGCTGGGAACGGGTGGGCGGGGCTAGTGGGCGCACTGCTGGGCGGAACTTGCGGGTGTCACTGCTGGGCACCGATCATCAGGGCACTGATCATCAGTGCCCTGATGATCGGTGCCGATCCCCGCTCTGACAACTGCCGGTTCTCGGCAGTACTTTCCTCACAATCTGACAGCGTGAGGAAAGTGCAGCCGAGAACCGGCACTTGCATTTCCCTGTGATCAGCGTGTCATTGGACACCGCTGATCACGTGGTAAAAGGGCGGTGGGATCGGCCTTTCATCACATCACGTGATCAGCTGTGTCCGTAGGACACAGCGATCACGGAGATCGCCGGGTGCGCGCCCCCTGGGGCGTGCAGGAGAGCGCGTTCTGGGAGGACGTCATATGACGTCCACTCAGAACTGGCCGGCCGCAGTGAAGCCGTCATTCGGCTATGCGCGGTCGGCAAGAGGTTAAGTCCTCAGAAAATGACAGCCCTTAATGTTTCGTTACCCTCTTTTATAGAACAGCAGCTTATACTTATAACTTTCAATGGGCACGGAATTCTTTGCCCTATTTAGTGATCAACTTGACTGCTTCTATTGAGACTCACTCTATATCAAGCTAACTACCCCCCCCCCCCCCCCTTTTAAAAAACTTAAAGATGATCTTCGCCGTTAGGCTGATTACTCTATATCCTGGTTTGGCAGGATCAGCTCGATTAAAATTACGTTTTTGCCTCAGTTGCTATATTATTTTAGGACCTTACCGATACCAATTCTGAAATGAGAGTTGCAGCACCTACAAGTTGAGGTCCTTCATTTTGTTTGGAACAATAGAAGACCTCGGATGAACCAGAAGACTATATTGATCAATAGGAACGGGACCTGAATGTTACTTACAACCTGATTGGCAAGATATTGCCCTGGTATTATCTAAAGTTTCCATCAATACCACACTAATTGAAGCAAAATTATAAAACACTATTATGATGGTACTTGGTCCTAACTCGGACTGCAAGGATGCATCCATCTGCCTCACCGATGTGCTTTCGGTGTTGTGGCCAGATAGACTCTGTCAGGAATGGACTTGCCAATAATGGTGGGACTCACCTGCAGTACCAGGGCTGGCCAGCGGGTGCTCTCAGCAATCAGAGACTCAACCCTGCAGTCAGTCAAAACACCTGAGGCTGATTGCAGGTTTATTTAAGGGATGGCCAGACCTGCAGTCTGTGCCTTGGTGTGTGTTTTTCCATGGGCCCCTGTATCTTGTTATCTGCATTCCTGTTCCTGTTCCTGCCTGACTGATTTGTTGCCGACCCTGCCTGATCCGGACCTCTGCTGACTTCTCCTGTTTGATCCCTGGCTTGTGACCCCGACCATTCTCTGCCTGACCCCCTGTACCTACCTGCCCGTTAGTTGCTGTACCCGGCTCGTGACCTGACTACTCTCTGCCTGCTCCTCCTGTTCCTACCTGCCCGATTGTTATTGACCCGGCCTGCCTGACTACGCTTGCATTGTATGTATTGTTATCTGTGGGTGGTTTGGTTTGGTTCGTTTGTACTGTGTTATGTTTTAGTATTGCACTGCGTTTATGTATTGTTAGTATTAATAAATTATATTGTTTATAACATATCTGAAGCCTGCGTTTCCCTGCTTCAGTTCACATACCTCTGGTCATACCCGGGAGCCCTGACAGACTCTATGGGGTTTATTTACTAAAGCTGGAGAGTCCAAAATCAGACTCCCTTCTGCATAGAAACCAATCAGCTTCCAGGTTTCATTGCCAAAGCTTCATTGAACAAGCTGAGGTTAGAAGCTGATTGGTTTCTATGCAGAAGGGAGTCTGATTTTGGACTCTCCAACTTTAGTAAATAAACCCCTATGTATCACGTCTGGTGGCAATGTCCGATAGCAGCCAGATTTTGGATCCGCATGTTTAATTTCATCTATACGGTGACAGGGGTGAATATTTGCAGATCCCCAGAGATGGCCCTCTTTCATAAATTTCCAAATACTGTTTCCAAAATATTCCCTTAAATTGCTCACTTATATGCTGTTAGCTGCGAGAATTACTATTGCTAGACATTGGAAGAAATCAATTATCCCGCTTGAATATGTTAAGAATAAAAGTTGCATAAAATGTCAAAAGAATGAGGTATGGCCAGGATGTGATATCGAGTAGATGCATGGCTGCAAAGCTGCACATCTTACCTGATCTTGCTGGTATCCTGATGCAAACCTGGCTATTTGATCTCCAATTCCATATTCTTAATCTAGTGCCAAGCCTACTGCTTTGTGTCACAAGTCAGGCAGCAATCAAAAAACTCCTTGGATACTGGTTGGTTCTTTCCACACCTTTTCTCTGACAACCATCTTGAAAACACCAGCAGCATGCAACAGTGTCTCAGTTGTAGAAATAGGAAGAGATAGTCCGGCAACTGTACACCTAGCCCGGCCCAAGTGGTTAGCAGGTAAAAGCAGCCTAAGTTTGATCATCCAAGCCATGCCCCCAACATAGCCCCTAACGACCTCCATGATCAAGCTCTGGCGCAGGGCAAAACATGTTGGAGGCATGACTTGGATGAATCACACTTTGACTGCTTTTATCTGCTAACCACTCTGGCCAGGCAAGGAGAGTGGCAGCCAGGCTAACATTTCCTATTTCTACAACGTGCTTTGGGTCTAGCATCCAATTCATTGGACCTTGTTGGCATGAGCAGGGGCCACTAAGCATTAGCGTGCTTCACAATGTCTCTGCCAGCACTCGAATGGCTAGCATGGAGCAAGATGACTCTTAACCCTCAGGAGCTGACATCCTTGTAGCCATCACCACCTGCAAAGAGCTGCTTACCTAAAAAAATTGACTTGCTGTCTGCAGACATCAGCTTCATCAGACATTATCTCAACAAGTTCAGAGCCCAATTGATATGAAGCTGAGAGCTGTATATCCTAAATGCATAACACAATCCACAATGACTTCACGGAGCTTCGCATCATGCAAAGGTAAATCAGAGCATTGCAATAATATTAGAGTGCTGGGCCTGCCCAGTCAGGCAGCAGGTAGCTGGCTTGCATTATATGCCAAAGCCTCATTAAACTACTAAAGGTCTCACAAGCCTTCCACCAAGACTGTTTATGGAAAGGGTACATTGAGTACTCACCACACCACCAGTGCCTGGGGCAATTCCTAGGTCCTTCCTAATATTCTATATTATTTTTCTAATATTAGGAGAGAAGACCCAGTTTTTAGACAACTGCAACTTCCACTTGTTTGAACTGATATTTGTTATCCTTCTACCACAAAAATTAAACCAGAATTGCAGTCTCTACGAACACAACTTTTATACTGCTATATATTTATATATAATAAAATGGCTTCTGATCTTTTGATTTAATGAATTGATACTGCTAGTATAGAAAGTAGTGTTTAAAGTGTATAGTAGTAGGGTCTAAATTTTAGAGTTTTAGTGCCAGCAGGCCTTGTGTTGTTGGCATTTTACCTGCTTTGTTTTATCTTTCTACCCCCTGAACCTTTTCACTTTCTCAAAACCTGCCTTCAAAAGTAACCACTGTTAAATATAATGTGTGTCCCTGATGATGTCATATGTGATGAAACACATAGGGCAGTTATTTGACACATGCATGCATGGTGACTCCATGACTTCCAAGTCATGGTGTCACCATGCATGCATGTGTCACATACCTGATTGGAGACTGAAATGATGAGGTCGGCCTCACTTGTACCGAGGGGCAGGAGAAACACAAGTGCCAGAAGATGTTGATAGGAGAACTTGCAGCGGTAGATTTGGTCTAGAGGAGACTGGTGGACCATCGGTTCAGGAACAGTAGCTGTGCTCAGGAGTCCAGCAAAGGTTAAAGGGGCACTCCACTTGCATTGCAGGTTCAGGATGAGTGGCTTGTCAGAGATCCCAGCAGACTTGAGGCAGGAACACTCAGCGGTGCACAGAGCTTGTACAGCAGACAACCAGGCAGGCACTTGAACAGGACAGAAAGCCAGGATCAGAGACAGGAGCGTGGTCATAGGAATAGCCAGGGTCATCAACAGGCAGGTATGGAGGTACCATAAGCAGAGTCGATGTTAGAAACAGAGCCAGGTCAGGAGCAGAATCCAAGATCAGGTCAGGAACAAGCCGGGACAGCAATAAGGGAATCATACAGGAACAATGCAGGACACAGGGAACAGCTGAAGACCAGTCAGCTCTTGAGCACGGGCAGGAGCATTTTTAAATAGTCCATCTGGCACCAGCATGCCCTGTGTGTGCACATATGCCCATGCGCATTCCTGTGCACATGCACACACCTGGTTACCATTCTTTTAGAATTTCTATTGACCAGCCATCTTAAAGAAATTCTCTGATATTGACTCCCCTTAGGACAGCCTCCAGATGCTCACTGTAGTCAGTTTTTCAGGATGAAGTCAGAGGCAGGCTTGTACCAATCGTGGAGCGTGGCCATTAGAAGATGGTTGCCGGGAATTATCCTCTGGACCATAGCCCTTCTATTTAATGAGGAACTGGGTTTGACCTCCCCTCTTTCTGCAGTCGAGGATGGCCTCCACCTCATATTTCTCATTACCTTCAATCAGCCGTGGAAAAGGAGATTCTGGACCTCAATCCAGAAAAGGGTTTGAGACTGTTGGTTTTAATAAAGAAATATAAGGTGCATCATCAGATTCTTTGGTAAAATTAATTAAAATGACACATAATTAATCTTCCTTTTAATTGTAAATAGCCCCGAGTACCTTGGACCAAGCTTCTTTGAGGGACAGCTAAATTTCAGGTTTGCTGTAGACAGCCAGATCATGTCTCCTGATTACAGATTCAAATTCACTCTTCTTCTTTTATCAAAAAATCTTTTATTACTTGCCTGGTCCTTCAAAATGGTTTCTCATAACAGCTGGCTGTGCGTATTGAGAAAATCCAGCCTTTCTTCCACAGGCACCTCAAGTAGGAAGGAAGGATGATATCTGTAATTAGCATAGAGGGGGGACTGCTTGCTGGAAGAGTGTATGGGCATCATTGTATGCAAATTCCTCCAATGGAATACCTGGTCATCCTGCGAGGAAGATGAAAAGCTTTGCAAATATTGTTCAAGAGTTTGATTTGTACGCTCAATCTGCCCATTCATTTGTGGATGGTAAGCAGAAGAAAAATTAAGTTCAATGTTTAGTGCTTCACACAAAGCCCTCCAGAACTTGGAAGTGAACT